TCAGCAGTGCAGGGGTGGGGGGGAAGGTTCAGAAACACCAACCTAGCTTACTTGGCTATATTATGCCTAGATGCCAGGATGACATGGAACTATATACTTCATTCTTGTAAAAGTATGGATAGAGGCAAATCCAAAGACTGGTTTAGTTGGTAGATTGGAATGGCCTCCTTAAACCAAGACTGGAACATTTCCATGTACCAGACTACTGGGGAATGTTGCACTCCTTCACAGTGTCTTCAAATCTGCAGAATGCAACATCACAAACCAACCCTTCCTCAACTGTTTTCTGCTTGATTAGTCTGAGAGGCTGACCCAGTTGCCTATGTTTAGAGTAGAAGTGCTTGTCACCTGACAACATATGGATACATATTGTTGTGATTTCCAGAAGTACAGGCCTCTTTGAAGGTAATGAGATCCGCTGGTGCTTTGGTGATGTCACTTAGATGATGTTACTTTATTTTTTGGTTTATACAATAATCATTTGGGAAATTATTTGCTCTCAAAGGAGAGATAAAGAAAAAGAGCAAGTACTATGACAAGAAAAGCAAAGTTGAAAATCTTATACTGGTCAGCAAGTCTTGGCAACAAAGAGGTTTTAATTTTTTAATGTTATTTACATTTTACTCCTTAAGGAAACTAAAGCAATTGAGTCAATAATAACTTGAAATTGTATTAAAAAGAACTATATGTGCAAGAACAGTATACTTTAAAAAACATGTTTGAATAACTTTATGAAAGAACAATACCCTTTAAAAAGCTACCCCTATAGAAAGAGATTTTAAAGAAATGGCAAAAACAAATCTGTGTAGAATTTGTTTTCTTGTCCCCAGATCTTCAACTTCCATCAACAATTGTTTAAATCTAAATTTGTTTCTATCTAAAGGGAGAAACATTACTTTCTTACTCATTCTGAATCCTTAGTTTAGAGTCAGACTAACTGGCAGGATGAAAAAGTCCTCAAGAAGAGATTGGGACACTTACCTACATTCTAGATCAGCTCTCTGGAGATTAAGAAATTTTCAGTTATCGGAAATCAGAAACAAGTTGCAAGTAAGAATTTAAGTAGTACAAGTAATATTAGGAGGTGTCAGCTGGTGTCAGTGATCAAGAAAATGAAACAGGACAGGAACACAAATCAATATAAAAAGAAAATCTATTGAGTCAAGGAATATTGTTGGCTGCTAAGGGTTGGGGGTGGGTGGCTATTAGTTACAAAGATGATTACAGTCACAGAAAGTAAGGGAATATTTACTGAGAACCTGCTATTTGTCAGGCATAGAATTAAGTGCTTTACTCTAATTACTTCATTTAATTGTCTTTACTGGGTAGGAATCATTTTATAATGAGAAAAGAAGCTTGGGGTTCCTGGAAGGCTCAGTGGGTTAAGATTCCAACTCCATTTCAGGTCAGGTATGAGTTCAGATGGTGAGATCGAGCCCCATGTTGAGAATTAAGATTCTCTCTCTCCCTCTCTTTCTGGCTCCCACCCCACCCTGCTGTGTGCACACTCTCTATTTCTCTCTCACTCTCTCTTTAAAAAGCAGCAGCAGCAGCAGCAGCAGCTCACAGATATTAAACAACTTGCTCAAGAGCATACAGTGGTTAGTCCTAAATCTGTTTGTCTTCAAAACCTATATTACCATAGACATGTCAACAGTGTGCAAGGGTTAGGTTTATGAAATTCTAGAAACACATCCTAATCTAGTTTAGAGATTACATAAACCCTGCTCCCCACTACTCAGAAAGCATTAGGAGATCTGGTGTAGAGTGTGTTTGTGACCATTAACAGTAGCTTTTTGATCCTCTGGAGGGTGAAGAAGATTTTAAGCATCTATTCGAGGAGAAAGAGAGTTTGGAAGACAGCTGCGATTCAACCAACATAGGGAGGGACTCTCCCATTGAGACTGAGCTCCTGCAGTCAATCCAGGGAACTGTGGGAAAGGTTGTCTGGGCCTTGGGTAAGGTTGGGGGTCCGGGTTTGAGAGGTCTTGGTGATTCTAGCCAGAGTCTCGGGCCCTGGGCCTAACACACCATTGTTGCTGAGAATATCATTTTATTATTCCAACAAACTGACATTTATATAGGACACCATGCTCCACGCGGAGCTAAGCACTGGGAATTCACAGGTACCTCAAGGAGCTTAGACAAAAACAAAAAAAATTACTGCTGATCCTTCGTGTTAGCTCTTCAGGCTGCTTTACTGATTCTCGGACAGTAAAAGTCAAACGGACCCCACTTTACGGTCTTTATCCTGAACGTCCCTCTTCTTTTGACACAACACAGCTACTGTCCTTACCAACTTTAACTCTTTGTTCCAACTGCCCATTAAAAACTGAAGGAATAATTGGCATTTAACATGATATTAGTTTCAGGTGTACAAGATGATGATTCGATATTTGTGTGACTGATCATCACAGTAAGTCTAGTTCATGTCTTTCCCTACACATAGGTACTAGGTTTTTTCCCTCTCCCCATGAGAACTTCTAAGATCTACTCTCTTAGCAACTTTCAAATATGCAACACATATTCTAAACTACAGTCGCCATGCTGAACGTTGTGTCCCCATGTCCTGTTTATCCCACCTTCTCGATGGGGCCGGACGTGATTGCTCTATTTGTAATCCCCCCCTCCTCTTTCCTTAACCTTCACCACTAGACACTCCAGGCTCCCGTCCTCTGCTTTGTTTTTTTGCACAGCACAAGGCATTTCAAATATTCTAGAAACGTTGTTTAAGCTTATTTCCCCTCATTAAATATAAGCCTCACAATGGCTGTGACTTTTTTTTTTAAAGATTTTATTTATTTATTTGACAGAGATCGCAAGTAGGCAGAGAGGCAGGCAGAGAGAGAGGAGGAAGCAGGCTCCCTGCTGAGCAGAGAGCCCGACGCAGGACTCGATCCCAGGACCCTGGGATCATGACCTGAGCCGAAGGCAGAGGCTTTAACCCACTGAGCCACCCAGGTGCCCCTGGCCGTGATTTTTATTTAGCTATCTCTTTAGACATATCTCAAGCACCCAGAAGAATGTGTGACACACAGAGCAAGCACTCAGTACAATTTGTTGAATTAAATTGGCCTGAATCGGATGCATTTAGCCCAGGTACAATGTGTATTGGTCTCAGAGGAGACTGTGAGTAACTTCTGGTGGAGGAGGCAAGTCAGGGAAGGTTTTGTGGAAAAAGTATGTCTCGGTTAGAAGCTAAAGATGAGTGGGAACGGTCTATGCAGAAAATGGGTAGGAAAAGCATTGTTAGCAGAGGGAACATCATATACAAAGAAGTGGGGGTGGCGATAGAATGGGAGAGGTGAGGGCCAGCCCGGAAGAGGAATCTGATCAGAAAAGAGGGATGTCCTGACTATGAGTGTCTGGGAAAGAAGACAAGATGTCAGTAGGGAAAGGTGCAGAAAGGTGCAGGCTTCCTTTCTCTTTGCACCCTATATTCATTTTCTTCTGTGAGCTCTAAGAGGCCGACCCCCAACTTCTATCACCAGTTTCCAAAGGGAGTCACAGAAAGGAGAGTGACAGGTGGAGAGCGAGGTCAGAGTATTTATTTCCGTCTGTTTCCTCCTTGCTGGGCTGTAGTCCTCTCGCCCTAGATACTACTGGGAGGGCCCCCTTTGAAGGCTCCAGTTCTTTTTTAAAAAAGATTTTATTTAGTTATTAGAGAGCACGAGCCCCGGGGAGGTGCAGGGGGTAGAGGGGGAGGGAGGAGGAGAGGCAGAGGGAGAGAATCTCCAGCAGACTCCATGCTGAGCACAGAGCCCAGGGATGGCTGGATCCCAGCACCCGGAGATCATGACCTGAGCCAAAACCAAGAGTCAGAGGCTCAATGAACCTAACCGCCCAGGCGCCCTGAAGGCTGCCAGATAGAGCCCAGATGATCCCGTACCAGGCAAGAGACAACTAGATATCCAATATTTACGAAGCAGCTGAACAGTAGGCATCAAGGATGCCAGACTTTGGGACACAAGTCAGCATCTTCTGAAGTGAAACGTATTTATATGCATCCTGTTGGGGCCTCACACTGGTCTCAATCCCTGTGTTGGGGGCAAGCCAGCTCAGAACAGAACCTTGAGAGGATCAACGCAAACAGTGCTTAGCAAACCTTATTCCAGGCTCCCCAAAGCAGAAGTTCTGAACTACACGTTGTGTGTGAGTGCCTATGCCTGTCCCTCAGGTTATGTGTGTGTGTATGTGTGTTGTTGGGAGTGAGGGGTGTCTGTGACTCGTCTTCTCAAAGGCAGATGATAATAAACATTTGTGAATGTTTTCTACACGTTGGTAGGCACTGTTCCGAGGACTTTACTGACATCAACTCTTTTAATCCTGGCAACAGCTCCATTACGCAGGCGCTAACACGCTGCCAACTTTACAGACAAGAAAGCTGGCAGGAAGGATGAAGCCCAAGGTCTCCCTGTAGGCGCCGTGTGAAAGGGGATTCGCCTGGGCAGCCTGGGTCCAGAGCCTGCCCTCCCCTCCACCTCCCCATCCCGTCTCTTTGCCTGACTCTGGACTCATACAGGGAAGGCGTCATTTATTTCTCACCCGCTCGGAACCTCGCACGATGCCTGGCACGCAGGAGATGCCTCGGAGTTCCTTGCTGATGAAATGAATGAACTTCTGCTAGGCAGAGAAAGCCGGGCGAGCCCTGGCAGCAGGTGGCTCCTGGACGCCTCCACGTCCACTTTCCTCCGCGGCACCGCGCTGCCGGGCCCATCCCGGCCACAGCCGCCACCGGGCTGGGCCCTCGGCTCCGCTTCTGCTCCGGATCTGCGCGAAGTGGGAAAGGCCGAGCCCGCAGCGCCCTGAACAAACCAGAAAAACAGCTCGGCTCTGCTCCGCTCGCGAGCCCACAGTAGGCGCGGCGGCTCTACCCCGCAGGGTCCTGGGGCGCCTCCCCAGCGCCAGCGCCGCCCCGCCGCGCCCCGCCCGCCGCCCGAGGTCGGCCCCGCCGCGCCCGCGGGGGGCGGAGAGCGAGCCTCTCGGGAATCCATTCTGGACTCTGCACCCTTGCGTGTGTGCGCCCTGCTGCCCGCGGGCCTCTCAGCGCTCCTCTGCCTGTCCATGGAAGGGGCCAGATCCCCGTCGCCGGGGGAAGACCTGGAGCTCCTGGCGCTCGGAGGGCAGCCGGAGGAGCAGAAGCCTCTCAATGGAACCGTCCAGGTCATCCCTCTTTCGGTGGAGGAGCCCTGCCCAGCCCAGGTAAGGCCTGCTTGGCCCCGCGGCGGGCGGTGTCCGAGAGCGGACTCCGAGCCGGGCTGCCGGCCAGGGCCCGGGCCCGGCACCCTCAGAGTTGCGGGGTTCCAGCCAACTCTCCGGGCGTCGCGGACGCAGAGCGCTGGCGCGTCCTGGAATCTTCAGAACCGAGCGGACGTGGGAGTGCGCGTCGGCCTGAGCCCGCCAGAGCCCCTGAGACCCCTCCATCCTTCTGACCTCCAAGGAACTGGAGGAACCCTGGCGTGGAGGTGTGCGGCTCCCCTCTTCAGAGCAAATCCGCGAGGATAGAGGTGGTTTTTATAAGTTCTGTAACTTTAAATGAAGTTTTTTTTCTGTTTCAAGAAGGATGGAAGAACTAGAGTGATAGATGGAGTCGTCGCTTTCTTCAGAATCTCCTTGCCTTAGCTTTGCTGCCTTGACACTTCCAGCCACCTGCCACCGTCCCCCGCTAACCCTCACCCAATGCCCATCATCCCTTGTCCCGCTTCACATCCACACACACACACACACACACACACACACACACACTTTCTGTCCTTTACTGATCAGGCCTTTTGATTTGGCAGGAAAAGAGACCGGGAGAGGCGAGTGAATTTGCTCTGCTGAGATGATGGGAAGTAATTTCAGAGTTTTTGTCCCAAAGAACTAGACTCTGCCTCCTTCGCTTTCCCTCCCCTCAATCTCTAAAGGAAGTCATGGTGGTGCTTAGGCTGAGCTCTTTTCTGGTCCAGCCCTGGCAGAGATGGGAACATTATTCATTCTCATCAAATGCTTGTAAAACAGCAGAGACTTCGAATTCACAGCCATCTACCTTCTGATTAACCCCTACTGCTGGCTTGAGGTTTACAGGGTGCTTGGAGCTCTCCCTATACATATGTGGCTCCAACCTGGCCTTTCTAGGTCCCACTTCTCCACTTCCACCCCTTTGACTCTTGGCCTGTTGATTTCAGGGATAAGCAAGGACAACAAAAGGGGAAAGCACTGCTTTTGCTTCGGGATCAATTCCTGGAAACACTGTAAAGTTTGCTCTTCTAAGGACCTATAGGTACTTTGGAGAGTGATTTGGGACTTCATGTTTGAGTGAGAGATGAACACCACAGAAGAATGAAGGCTGGAGGAAGATGTTCTGTTCTCTGTGGGCTGGCTGTGTCAGTCCTCCAAGGCAGGATCTCCGAGTGGATTGGAGAATACTTGCTTCATGTTAGATAGAACATACCAGTGACTTCTGGGACTGATTCTAGACATAGGAGTTTTGGTGACAGTTTCACTACTAGAAGGTGTGCCTTGTGGCAAGGTGCTAAGGTCTGCAGTCAAATGGTCGTTAATGTGGTTAACCGAGCTTCTCTGGGAGGCCTGGGAATGCCTTTCTGAAAACAGATGAGTAGAAAAACATGCCACACGCATGTAGGGCATCAGTATTTTATAGTTGTTTAGTACCTGCCCAGGAGAGACGGCTCTTTTCGTGTTCTAATTATTTCCTCGTCAGCCAGCTCTACACTGATAGCCTGGACTTCCTCATAAATTAGCTTTGTAGGTTACCAAATAGAAAAACTATGGGGAGTGACAGAGTGGCCTGAAGGTGAAGGGTATGTGAGCACTTGGAGGGCATTCAAATATTTGAACAGGAAACATTTAAAAAGAGAGAGAGAGAGAAAAAAAAAAAACCCTCATCTAAATGCTAAGAGCATAAACAAAACAAAACATATGCTAAGAGCATTTTCATCTAAATGTATTAATCATTCTCTTTGGTTACATAGAATAAGTTGAGGTGTATTTTATTTTTTAAAAAGATTGATTGATTTCTTGAGAGCGAGAGAGAACACAGGCACCCGCAAGCAGCAGGGGGAGGGGCAGAGAGAGAAGGAGAGAGAATCTCAAGCAGTCTCCAGGCTCAGTTTGAGACTGTTGGGAAGAAGACACCCCACCTCATGGCTAACTTCCTAGTTGGACGGGCGGATCTGGGCGAGTCTACAAAGGCAGTAGAAAAAGCTTCTTTCCCTTGCTTGTTCTAGGCTTGGAGCTTGAGGGAAATTAGCCCCATTATTATGCATTGTTCAGAATTTAGGACAAGCAGCAGCTGGATTTTCTGTGGGTGGACAAGTGGATTAAATCCCACAATGAGATGATAAAGTACAGATTTTCCTACGTGCTAAGAAAAATTTTCCAGATGTATATAATATCTGCTCCTAGGAAAGCCAAAGGGAAGAAAAGCTTTCTGTATCTACGAGAAAGAGAGAGAGAGAGAGAGAGAGAGAGAGTCCTGCCATTGTACAGGGCCTTAGGTCCTCTATTTGGATCCTTATCTGAAGGGGGATGCGACTATCTGGGGGCCTGTTCAGAGGAAAGCCACAAAAATTCTCCAGCCATATAATGCAATCGTAGACTATAAGATACAGTTTGCAAAAATCTCTGGAAAGCACCCCATAGAAAAACCTGTCTGTGGCTGCTCCCCGTGACCTGGAATTTGGGCCTGAGAGAAAGAAGATGCTGGTGAAGGAGGCAGTATGTCCTTTGACCTGGGTTTTTAGGGGAGTCTCATCACAGGTGGCATATACCTACTGTATCAGAGGCTCTTCCCCCTCAGGGTACAGTGGAATCTCCTGGGGAAATTTCTAAAAAATACAAATTTCTTGGTTGATTCTAATGAGCAAGGAGCCGAGAATCACTGTTAATTTATTCTTGGGTTGAGAGTAAGCTGGTGGACTATTTCTCAATGACTTAAAGTCTGTGAAGGTTAATTTTGCACAGGATAGTGTCTCTCCCCTAGGTCTGATGGGAGACAATGAAGGGGCCAAGCTGTATGTTGGCAGCTTTGGGCTGGACAGGAAGAGACTTTTCCTATAGGCGAGGGCTGTGTGCTTGTGAGGTAACTCTCCCTAGGAAGTCAGAGTAATGGTCTCCTCATAGCACCAGGGTCCTAATTTATTATTTCTAAGGGAAATCATAAGTGAAGGCACAAGAGGCCAAATTCACTGACCCTTGTTTTGCGGCTCATCTGAGACTCCAGCCCCTTTCATTTTGTACCGATCTTATGGTCCCGGCTGCTTCTTGTATCAGGTTTGAAAATGGCATGAAGTCATTTTGTTCTCAGGAGCTCTGTAAATGGGAAGATCTCTTTCTGTCCCCTGGGAAGTTGAAGATTCCTTGTCCTGGGACTTTCCATGTGCCTTATTGAGCCCTTGGTTTTGGTGGCTTTGGAGTTTTCAGTCTTCAGTTGGGGTGAGAGATGGCTCTGTCCTTGGACTCCAGAAACACACTTAGCTCAAAAGCATTTTCTTCTGTCCAGATGTTTCTTTTACTGCTCCCCTCACACCCAACCAGAAGAGCCAGTGTAAAGTATATATTCAGGGTCTCCAGAGTGTGACCTCTACTCTAGAATTTTTCCAAGTACCTTCTTAAAAGTTCTAGAACCTTCTACAGTGTATTAAGAGCCTAATACCTGACTGAGGCACAAAAGTGGGATAAAAGCATGAGGAAGTTTAAGAGACACCCCTCCTTCTCTCTGGTTTCAGTTTACCTTGGAAGATAGGCTGGTATCTGTTTATATTTGAAACCAGACAAAGCAGGGACAAATGAGCTGTTTGGAGAGCTCATGTTCTGGAGGATCTCTCCGTGATTGACATGGCAGGGAGGTCTCAGCAAGAGGAGAGATCTGATCTGGCTCCTGGAGAGAGTGACAAGTTCTCAGAACAGGTCTCAACCCTGATAAAGCAACTGATTCACTCTGGTTGGCTCAAAATTACACACTGGGGAGGGGGGTTTAGTGGAGTGGGGGAACACCTGGGTGGCTTAGTCAGTTAGGCATCTGTCTTCAGCTCAGGTCATGATCTCGGGGTTCTGGGATCGAGCCCCATGTCCAGTCTGTTTCTCCCTCTCCCTCTGTCCCTGCCCCCCTTTCCCCCAACTCATGCTCTCTCTCTGTCTCTCAAATGAATAAAAAAAAAATTACAGGCTGCGGCCTACCCCCACCTCCACTGCAATCTGGTCTCCCATGTCTAGGGAGGGCCTAGGTGTGCACGGTTTAAATTCCTCCTTAGCTGATTTGAACATGCTTCCAGGCTTGGGAACCTCTCACTGAGTGCATCTGAACTGTCATCCTGAAGTGAACGATTTCTTTCTCTGGTGGCCATCACCACAGGCATGAGGGAGAGAAAGTCGACCAGGAGCTGCTCTGTGGGACTGGAGAACGACGGCTCCCATGTGTGGGGTGCCTAACATTTGTGTAGCAAGTGCTTCATGCCCACAATCTCTGGTCTTTACAACAGCTCTGGGAGCTGGATCTATTACTTTTACAGCTGAAGATGTTGGGGCTAGGGAGCTTCTGGAACTTGCTGAAGGAGGCAGTCATTGCCCTCAGGCATAGGCAGGGAATGCGGGTACAGAACCATACTTGTTCCCCCACCGGAATCCATGGTCTCTGTGTGAGAATTCCCTGACGGCTCTGTGGGAAGCAAGGACAGAGTCCCAGAAGTCGGTAGGGGCAGGGGACAGGGGGTGGCCCCCAGTGGAGACTAACCCCACGACAGCCAGGCACGCTCATAGCCTGGAGCTCTGCGCTGTGACGCGGGGTGGGGGTGGGGGAGCTGTGGACAGCAGGTGCCAGCTTTGCCGTGACCCGCAGCAGGCATCCGTCCTGCCTGCTCTCTCTGGCAGCATCTTGGAGACGGGCTAATGCCTCCCTTGCAGGACCATTTGACTGAAAGGAAATGGTGTCAGCGACCAACCAAGCGACCAAGTTGTGGCCTCACTACACCCACTGCAGCCTGCTTCGTGGTGTCGCTCCCATCCTTCCTTTCATTTCCCTTCCCAGGCCCTAATTACGTAGCACAGGGCACAGCAGTAGTCTCTTTGCTTGTCCTTGGCATGCTCACTCTAAACTACACATCGTTTTTCTCTTCATCTTCAACTCAGCTCTTGTGCTCCAAAACCTTTCACAGTTCCCCAGCGCACACCCAGTTAAGTCCAGACTGCTCTGGCGGCACTGAAAACCTTCCCAAGGATGCTCGGACGTTTCACTGTCTCTAATCTTAACGACCATGAATTCCTTCTGGAACCCACGTGGGCAGAGGATTCTCTTGGCCCGCCTGGTTATGACTCAACATTGAGGTTGCTCTGTCCATCTGCCTTTCTCTGTCCATCCTCCAAAGTCTTGCTTCGCCCCCACCTCCCCACTTCAGAGCCCCTAGGGTATTTTCCCCCTCACTTAAAAAAATTTTTTTTTTTTATTTATTTATGAGAGAGAGAGCCCAATGCGGGGCTTGATCCCAGGACCCTGAGACCATTACCTGAGTCGACCACCTGAGCCACCCAGGACCCCCCCTCCCCGCCAACTTCTTCTTCTCCTTTTTTTTTTTTTAAGATTTTATTTATTTATTTGACAGAGAGAGAGAGAGATCACAGTAGGGAGAGAGGCAGGCAGAGAGAAGGAGGGAGGAAGCAGGTTCCCCGCTGAGCAGAGAGCCCGATGCAGGGCTCGATCCCAGGACCCTGAGATCAAGACCCGAGCTGAAGGCAGAGGCTTTAACCCACTGAGCCACCCAGGTGCCCCCTCTACTCCACTTCTTGTGAGGTTCCATTCTGCCTCTTTGTAAACCTGACTCCTTGAAGTGTGGCCTGGAGAGGGCAGGATCCTGCTGCCTTCGCGAGAGTACAGAAGTGCTTCTGGAAACCAGTGACTGCCTTACAGTGTCCCTCTGCTTTCCAGGAGAAGGAGGAGAACCCTTGGAGTTCCTGTAATAAGAAATTGATTGGAAAGTGCAAACTGTGGATGGTCATCGCCTCTGTTTTCCTAGGTCTCATTATAGTCATCATAATAAGCTTATGTCTTATTGGAGGTAAGAGGATTTAAACAGGACTAAGTTGATGCATTTTAAGAACTTGTTTAATGCTTGTGCAGGACTTCCATTGATATGGAAGATGTGCTCATTGCTATTTCATTACTTATAATATGAATTGAAAACGGGCTTGGGATTGTTGTGCGGATGGTAGCTATCCTGTGGTTCTTTGTTTTATTTCGTTTCTTTATTTAGTAAGTTCTGACTGAAGTATGGAGACCAATGTTTTACTTCAAACTCTGCCCACCAGATCCTGAAAATTTCTTAACTTTTAACTCACTTAGACACTAATTTATATTTTATTGTTTCTCTACACCTGTTTAGTTGAAATTTTTTATCATTTTTTTGGTAAAATAATTATTGTACTTCATTTGATATACCCAGTACATTATTATAATGATGAATAATGAATAGCTCATTTGAAAGCGTCTTAAAAACTTTGTAGAATCATGTCTCTATATGCTGTCATTACTTTAACTTATTTTGGAAATAACCATTATATTTGTGTTGTATGTGTTTACAGACCAAAACCATACATGGTGCTAACTATGTAATTTACATATATTATTTACTACTTATTTATTTTTTAAAATAAAAAAAGTTTTTAAAAAAATCTTATTTATTTGAGGGAGAGAGTGAGCACAAGCAAAGGGAGCAGAAGAGGGAGAGGAAGAAGCAGGGTCTCCGCAGAGCAGGGATCCCAATGCTGGGCTTGATCCCAGGACCCTGGGAAGGTGACCTGAGCCAAAGGCAGACACTTAACTGACTGAGCCACCCAGGTGCCCTCATTCTTATTATTTATTATGAATTTAAAAATAATATGTGTTCAGTTACCCATAAAACACATCCAAATTATTAAAATTTCACTATACTTTCTTCTTTTTCTTACTTGCATTTTAAAAATAATTTGAGATGTGATTGTATTTTATATATATATATATATATAATTTTATTATTTTTTTTTTTTAGAGAGAGAAAGCATGACCATGTGCCAAGGTGGGTGGGTGGAGAAGCAGAGGGAGAGGGAGCGAGAATCCTAGGTAGGCTCCACTCCCAGTGTGGAACCCTTTGTGGTGGTCGATCTCACCACCCTTTCATCATGACCTGAGCTGAAATCAAGAGTCGGATGCTTAACCGACTGAGCTACGCAGGCACCCCAATCATTGTTTTTTAATTATTTTGGGGCCTACCTTTAGGATTTTTAAAGATTTTATTTATTTATTTGACAGACAGATAACAAGTAGGCAGAGAGGCAGGCAGAGAGAGAGCTGGGGAAACAGGCTCCCTGCCCAGCAGAGAGCCCGATGTGGGGCTTGATCCCAGGTCCTGGGATCATGACCTGAGCGGAAGGCAGAGGCTTTAACCCACTGAGCCACCCAGGCGCCCCTACCTTTAGGATTTTTAATGCTATATTGAGACCGTTTGCTAATCCACTAAAAGTTATTTGTGGCACTTTTTTTTTAAATGACTGCATGATACAGTCTTCCATGCCATTTTAAAGCTTTTAAAATTTTCTATGATTATTGATATGAAGGTTTTCATGATACATAAATAGAGTACCCTCCAGTGGGCAGTCATTTCAGTTTTAAAACAAGAAAAAAGAAAATTGTTTTTATTTGTAATTAGGGCTATTGCAGGGGTAGGGTTTTTTTCTGGAGTTGGGATACTCTTGAGGGTGACCTGGTCTCCACATGGATTTGGGTTGAGTCAGATTCTTCTTAATAAACCCAGTCTTGGATGAGGAGTCCCAGAGTCTCTCCAGAAGGGGTCCTGGGAGTTTTCTTCAGAAACTACATTTGCCCTTCACTTCCTATTCTTCTCCCAGCCTCTTCCTCTCCTGTCTCAAGTCCCTCAAAGAACAGGGAAATTTGATGGTATATGCCAACCTCCAGCATGTGGGTTTCTCAGGTAGGTGCCTTGTTTGCTTAATTACTTAGGGTATAATTGAGGTGGGACGGTGATCCATTGAGGCCACAGGCTGGTTTCGAGTTAGGAACAAGTTGATAAGAGGTGCTGCACCTCATCCGACATGCTGAGGGTAGGAGTTTTAGTGTGAGCTTTCATACTCTCTCTTACTATCAACTCCCACACGTGGATGTTGAAACTGAAGTTGAGCCATGCAAACTTGTCCCATCACAATTAGGTGGTGCTCTCCTGAGCATTGGCTGATTTGTCTGTTGGCCTCTGGAGCCTAGAACAATGGAGCATGCAGCAGATCCAGTTGGTTTAATGTTAGGGATTCTAAAGCCCAAGACCCAAGAACTATCTTCCATTCTCAAACATCAGCGGACCTCTTCAACTGCCCAACAGCAATCTGCAGAGGAAGGGATTCTCTCTCCTTCCATCGTTTCTCAAGGGACATTAGAGTTCATTGGATAATATCCAGGGAAGAACTCTGTAATGCTTGTAGTGCAAACTTCACTTTCAATGTTATTGTAAAATTGTATTTTCAGGGGCACCTGGGTGGCTCAGTCAGTTAGGTGTCTGCCTTCAGTCCCAGTCATGATTCCAGGGGCCGGAGATCGAGCCCCATGTTGGGCTCCCTGCTCAGTGGGGAGTCTGCTTCGCCCTCTCCCTCTCCCCACACCCCCAGTCTCTCTCTCTCATTCACTGTCTCTCTCAAATAAATAACTAAAAAATTATATTTTCAAATGTTAATTCTGTACAGAGATTTGCACACTTTCATATTTTTTAAATCTGAGAAATACTTTGATTTCACTTGGCATCTCAGCCCTCAGGAGTCTGGGCCTTTGGGGAGAGTCACAGTAGGCAGTGTGGGATGGAGGAAATTCCATGGGTGAAAAGGGCAGGGACAGGGCTCCCCTCCTTTATGGTCCCAGCCTCACCCAGAGTGGCTCTGTAAGTAACTGTGGGATGAGCATGTGCAGTAATTGGGCATTGCCTCATGGCCAAGCTGGTGATAGGAATCGAATTCATAGAACTTCTGGGCACTGTGGGGAAAACACTGCTGTCTGGAAAAGCTCAGTGTTGACAGAGTCAAAGGCTGCATGTAGGGTTGGCTTCGTTAAGAAGCGAGGTTCCTCAGGAGCTGGCTTCGCCATTTTTCCTCTGTTGTCCCACCCTGCCCGCCACCCCGCCATCTCTTCAGTCTCCTGTCGCCAGGCTCTGTAACAAGCAGATCGAGGCTCAGAGGCAGAGATGTTAATAACTGTGGAGCTGGAGTGCACACAGGTGTGGACAATCAACAGGTCCCAGCATAGAAGGGATAATGCATTGAGGAGGGGACATTGGGGTACTTAGGGTGGGGTGTTCAGCACGGAGGTGTATCTTGTCACTGACATTGTTAAGAACTATTGTCAGCTGTGGTCTGTTTTATTACTGTTAATTTTCTACAGACTGTACAGACTTTATTGCCTGCATCTGGGGCGGGTCTCCCGTCACTTTGCCCTTGACATGCTGTTCAGGTGATGGCAACTTCAGGATCGTGGCTGAGCTCCAGGCATGGAGCCGGGGCTGTTTACACACATGGCAGACAATGAAATCTTTTTGAAGTGGCCAATCTGGGGAACAGAGCCCAGGGAGTCCTGTTGGGTCTGGAGGCTTGGTTTTGTCTCCATACTTCAGGGAAAAGATAATGATGGAGTCTCTTCTTCTCCCTAAAGAAGCATAAATTCCTTGATGTAAATAAATGGTAAAAGAGCTTTCCCCTCTCTTTCATTCTCTCTCAAAGTCATCTTCTTTCTGGACAATTTAGAAGATCCGTTAAGCATCTTTAGGAGTTCTGCTTTTCTCACTGAGTTACCCCAGCCAGGGAGGAGAGAGACCCGAGTAACATGCTACTAATGAAAGTCTTGTTGGACGGGGCAAAGAATTTTAAGTATTATGCAAGCCAAAGGGTGACAAGTAGGTGGATACTTAGAGATGTAACTTAAAGGTGATCAGATTTAGCACTCTAAGGACCCTTATGTGATATTCTCCAACATTACAGCTTTCTGCCTGACTTCTTTACTGTCTTTCCATACAGGTGTTTCCATGAGTAGGAGCGCTATGGTCCTGAGATGTAAGCAGGGACGTTAGAAGTGCCATGTGTTGAATAGGTTGTTTTGTCTTTGCCTTAGGTGGAAGAGCCATACTGTCAAGGCATGTTGGCAGGCAGACGTGTTGCACAAGGCAATGCTCCAGGTGTAGGGTGACTCATGGGAAAGTCCTCAGCAGACAGCATTAGCAAGTTGTAAACTAGCAAGGTCCTTGGGGACAGGAACTTAGTAGCAAATCTGTAGGCCCTGGTCCTTGAAATTTCATTGTGTTGTTCCCTGTTTCTCTTGCCCTCCACTCTCATAGGTTTCTCCACCTTCCCAGGACCAATGTCTTCACCTGTGCTCTCCACAGGAGCCTTCCCAGCTTCTCCTGACCCATGGACCATCAAATCTGTCCACATCTCACTAAGCATCCTCAGACTTTTCTCAACTTGGGCCTCTTGAAATGTGCTAGCATTGTTTGTCCTTCAAAACCTTCTTTCATCAGAATCTTGCTGCGACATTTTAGAAATGTTTATTCTCTTTCTCTTTTTTCATTGGCAGACTTCTAGAAATTGAGGTCTGCATTTGGATCTTGCCTCCTGCTCACTCCTTACCCATTGGTTCCAGGACCCTGGGATCACGGCCTGAGCAGAAAGCAGACACTTAACCGATTGAGCCACCCAGGCACCCCAAGACTTAAAATATATAACATAAAATGTGAGGGAAACTTGTTGATTAAAGGATTATTAGTATTTTTTTTTTCTTATTTTGCTACAATTTCCTGTACTTGGCAAGGTTTCAGCTATGAAGACATAACTTTATTGTCAGAGGAAATAATATCATGACTTACAACAAATAAGGGTGCAGGGGATAATTCCCTGTGTTTGGGGTCCTCAGGATCCCTCCGAGATGCAGTGAATTGCTGGGAGAATTCATGGGACTCAGCATATTGTCATAGAGATGATTACTGATGTGGGGAACAAAGGCAAAAGGAAATGTATATAAAATTAAATTCTTTCAAACTTGCAGCTTGTTGACAAATACTTGACTCAAGGCAGAGCAAGACACCCCTCCAGGAACTCCCAAGTGTCTTTAAGTTAATGCCTTTCTAGAGGAAACAAAACAAAACAAAACAAACAAACAAACAAACAAACAAAAAACACACCTAAGCTTGATAGGCCTCCAGGATCCCTGAAGTCCTCTTTGACGTATGAAAATCCTTTTGGAAACTTCCTTTGTCTCTACCTCTCCCAACTTAAAAGTATCTCGTGAATTGCTCCTCACAACCCCAGGGCACCTGGGTCCTGTCCCCCTGCTTTAATAAAACCACCCTTTTTACACCGAAAAACTTATCAAGAATTCTTTCTTGACCAATTGCTCCTGGACCACATGTCAAATCCCATCACTTGTGATTTATCATAGCAAAATGAAATAAAGCAAAATCCAGAGGAAACCAGGCACAAACTTGAGGACCCCCTTAACTGCCACAGCAATGAGATGTAACAACACGTGAGAAGTGTTGTCTACCGGGGAAGCTCATCAGAGTCTAAGGGCCCAGGGTTTTCCTGGGTTGGTCCAGGAGGCAGCCTCTGCCCGACCCATGCTAAAATTCCAGATCCCCGGAAGGCACGGTGATCAGCATAAGCTACATTGTTTGTACCAACAGCAGGTACCAACTGGGAGGGCATGGAGGGAACCCTCCCCAGATCCAGGCTCGCATAGGCCAGCCAGGGTCCAGCCTTGAGCCGGCCCCTCTGAACTGGTCATCTCAGGCTCTGGGAACTCTGTTCTGCATGTTCCCTTTCTCCTCATCCTTCCCAGGGAATAAGTATTAGGATTCTTAGTGCTTTTCATCTGCCTTTCTATCAAACACCGAGGGCCTTTTCTAAGTCCAGCCAGAGAGGCTGCTTGTGTTCTGTCTGAAGCATGAGATCTGAGAGTCAAGGCTATGGACAAGGTGAGCTCCTGGTTCGGCCACCCACGCCTTTCTCAGGGCTGGAGAGGTGGTTCCTGTGCGTTCCTGTGAGGGCCTGGCAAGGGAGGCCACCGGAGAGCCAGGGGAGCAGAGCTGCTACCACGAGTGCCAGCTTCTAGCTCCTGGCTCCTGGCCTTGTGTGTTTTTCCTTTAGCTTTAACTGCTTAAAAATCAATTAGCTCACCATCATTAGAGCACCAGCAGCCACGCAGAACTCACTGTGCCAGGAATGCAAGGCCCTCTGGCCTTAGGGCTCTGAGTGCAGCTTGGTTTCCCTTCTATAAACAGAGAGTGTAAAAAAAAAAAAAAAAGAGTGTGTCAACATTTCTCTCCTGTGGGACAGACTGCCAGACTGCAGAGTGGTGGCTTCCCTGCCCATCTTCCGTCTTCCAGGAGATGTCTGGACGTGGCTCACGTGCTTATGTCTAGTCCCCACGTCCCCATTCGGTTCTGGTCCATGATGTCTCTTCCTCCTCAGGGTCTTTGATAGCCTGGAACTGGGGTGATTCACTGAAGTTCCTTGCTCACAGTCCCTGGCCCCCGTCACCCATTGTTCGCTCCCGGAGCCTAGCCCAGCGCCTGCCTTGACAGACACCTGTGGACATAGTTAAGGCTGCAGGTTCTGTTCAACCAAGAAATTCACGTTCTTCCCACTCCCTCCCACCGGCTTTCCCCCCCAGCTTGTATTCAGTGGAATCTGGGAGCTCTTACGGTATAAAACGAACAAGTTTTATCATAAATGGAGGCTTCTGTCTTTATGTGGTATCTCCAAGAAGACAGAACATTTCCGCCTGTCCTTGCTTCCTGTGTCTGGCCTTTATCCTTGATGAATGTTCAGTGTCATTTCTAGCAGCCAGTGGCACAAATTGTTATTTGAAGCATGTGTTTACTTTACTTTTACTTTTTGTCTCCCTCCGCCCTTTAGTAACTTACATCGATGAAGATGCAAATGAAATACTTGAGTTATCGTCGAATAAAACCTTCTTGGTCGTGCTCAAGATTCCAGAGGAGTGTGCTGCTGAGGAGCAATGGCCGCACCTGCTCATGGAGAGGGTAATTATATCATAAGCATTGTTTACAGAGTTCTTAACAGTAGAATGTGGGCTCTTCGAATGATTACGTAAGTAGCTTCAGGCTTGGATTCTTTGTCTGCATTTTGGCAGAAACTGATGCTTAGAAATGGATTTTCTGTGGTGCCAAGCCTCAGAAAGGAGCCCTGCCCTCCAGCAAAATGCGTCCTGGAGGACAGTGCTCGGTCTCCTCACTCTGGTCTTAAGTTTGATTCGACCTGTCATGTCATGGGGGACTGGTGATGTGCCAGAAAGCCACAGTCACAGAGTCTGGGCCAGTCACAGTCACAGAGTCGTGGTTAGACAGACAGTTCTAGATAGTGGGATATGTTCTACAGAGGAGAAGCGTACAGAATATCTTGCAAGCTCAAAGGAGGGTCATCTACACTACCTGAGGTGTGGCTGGAAGCTTGGAGGGCATCTTGCAGGAGGTGATACTCAGGATGAGTCTTAAAATATGAGGTAGGAGTGTTCTTGGTGATACTAGGGGATCTGTCCTGCAGTGTCCAGTTGCCTCTTGCCTACTGTACGATGGGGCCTTTCGGGGATGAAGCGTGAAGGTTTTCCTACTCTTTGGTAAGGCACTGAAACATTTTCATCTTGTTGACATGGTCAGCTGTTCATGTTAGCCCTTCCTGGTGGTCGTGGAGAAACACTGGAGGCTGAGAGCTTAGTTAGAAGGTACAGCAGTAGTCCCAGTGATAGATGGGGGTCTTTGACCCAGGGCAGTGGCAGGGTGGATAAGGAAGATTCCAGTGAGGTTTAAGAGGTCTTCTCACTCAAGGGGACTTCATGGCTGATTGCATGTGGGGATGCAGGAGAATACGACTCCAGGCTCCTGGGAGGTGAATGGGTAGATGGTGGCTTCATTCTTAGAGCATGAAATGCAGGACAATGTCCTTGGTGCAAGATGAGGGCGTGCAGCCTCTGCATGAGGGCTGGTTGGGTTCACAGCCAGACCCAGAAAAGTATTTGATAAGGGTCTAAGCAAGACCAGCCTGCCATCTCTTATAGCCTTCTCTGCAGCTGACCGGTAGACTGGTGTGGGTCCCCTTCTGGTTTCCATCTGATTCCTATGAAAGCTTCGCCAGGAGGCAAGTCCATCTTGGTCACCCCGGAGTTAGTTTCTGGACACCCAGGGGCGTGTAATTTGATTGCTGCTTTGGTCACAGGGGTTTGTGTTCTGGGATGATTATTGGGCATTTCTTCCTCCTTCTTTTCCGTGTTTAAATCTTACCTGAGAGCCCCCTTTCCTCTTTTTCTTTCACCTGCTTCCAGATCAAGCTGCTGAGTGAATAGCCTCTTGCCTTTTCCCTCTTGATTGCGTTTTTCATCCCGGGGTTTTGCATTTGCTGAGCAGAAATGAGATGATTCAACATCCACACATGTCGCGTGTTCCAGACTGAATTCTTTATATCAAAGGGGAGTGGAGGTTAATCATCCACTGTAGAGCCATATCTCGTGCGCAGAGCCTGGCAGGAGCAGATCCTGTAGGTATTTTAGCTCATCGGTGTGTAGTGGCAAGGGAACAAGGTCTGGCATGATCCCTGAGGCAAGTGCACAGGCCTGTTCGAACTGCTTCCTTCTCTGATAAATAGAAATCACTACACTTCCCCTGTATATCCACAGGTGCCTATGGGATGCATATAAGGAACTCTGTACAACATTTTTTTTTTTTTTAAAGAATGGTCTAGTTTACAGATGATAAAATTAAGGCCCAGAGAGGTGACAAATCTTCTGCCCCCTGGGATCCCAACCAAATATGTTCAGAAACAGAAGTGAGAACTTAGGGATATTAGTCTTACTGTTGGGTCAAGAGCCCCTTTCTTTCATTCACTCAGGCCAACTTCTAGAAGTTTCCGGATATGGAAGGTAAATGGGAGTGGATGGTGGAACACATGTCCTCGCTTTTGCATTATCGTCTTGCCCTTTTTTTTTTTTAATAGTTAAGTGTGAGATCTTTTTTTTGTTTGTTTTGTTTTAAATTTTTAAATTTTTTATTAACATATAATGTATTATTAGCCCCAGGGGTACAGGTCTGTGAATCGCCAGGTTTATACACTTCATAGCACTCACCATAGCACATACCCTTCCCATAGTATTTTGTTTTGTTTTTAAATTTTATTTTATTTTATTTCTTTTCCAGTGTTCCAAAATTCATTGTTTATGCACTACACCCAGTGCTCCATGCAATACGTGCCCTCCTTAATACCCACCACCAGGCTTACCCCACCTCTACCCCACCTCCCTTCTAAACAGTTTTCCTAGCCCTTCCCTTATTCCACTGCCAGTTTTCTTCTCTTCCCACTGGGGTGCTTGCTTTGCTAAACCAGTCGGTTAGGTTAGCTACGGATTGTGTTACCCTGGCCCGTGTGCTTGATGGAGGCGTTAACAATCACTCCTTTGCTAACACCAGGAAGATATGTCCCTGGTCTCAAATTAGCCACTCTGCCCAACTCTGGTAGTCAACTCAACGGGTGCCTAGCTCAGTGTGCATCCAGCCTTGTAGGCACGGCGTAGGAATCCAGAGCCAGGGGTGAGAAGACCCCCTTTTCATGTCTTTGGACCCATAGTAGTGTGGTTAACTGTTCCCAGGTATGTGGACATGTCTCAATGATAGCAGGGGACCATGCCACTGAAAAGAATCAGAGTGGACACTGAAAGTGATCTGGTTTGTCATTCCAGCTCTTAATGTAAAATTTTAGCTTAATTTTTTTTTTTTTCTGAGAGACTAGGACTATGTGCAAAACAATACTAGGCCCTAAAGGGTAAAGAAGAAGGAGGGGAGAGTGGGAATAGAGAAGGTTGGAAGGACATCACCCCTGCCATAACACATTTGTTTATGTCTGCAAATGTATATATGTATATATCTGTGTGCATGTACACACATGTACGTATGTTTATGTGTACGTGTGTATGTGTGCGTGTGTGTATGTATATCTGTGTATGTGTGTGTATGTAGGGAAGTGCTTGGAAAAATAAATCCCATCTATAACGTCCTCCTCCTCTTCCTCCCCGATGTTCTCAGCAGCCCTGTGAGAGCCACTTTCTTATTCCTGCATCGCCTCTGGCAGGATTCTTTTCTCAGGGGCTCAAAAACTATAAGATGACTCAGTCATTTTTTTCCCTTAAAGTTCTTACCACTTTCTGCTTCTTTCCTCTTTGATATTCAGGGCACTTTCCTTCTCACTTCATCCTCCAATGTAAAGAAAGTGGGTTTTAGTGTCTGTAACCTCTAGGACTGAATTCCTTATGAGCAGAGTGACCTTGAGCAGGTTTCATACACTTCCCTCATGCTGTTTTCTTTATTAGTAAGAAGGGAAGGGGTGGTAATGCCACTTATGTCATGTTCTTATAAAGATCACAGCAAAAATACAAGATTGGAAGCGTACTTACTGTAGGTCCTCTGAACCCCTCTGCTCCACCTTGAAGGGACTGAATTGTCACCAGGTGAATTCAGTGGGAGTGTACTGTGGGAATGTAAGCTCCTTGAGATTCTGTTTGGAATTGGGTGGGAAACAAAATGAGCAGAGGTGCCCTCAGGCACTGCTTTTTGGGGGTGTGTCTGCTGCTTGCTACTCATTGGCGTGAGAGGGCACTGAGCCGTCATGGGTGCAGCTGGGCCACTCACCTCAGCACCAGGGTGCCATTGGAGGCCACTGAACCTTCCAAAACACCTTTAAGGCTGACTGACTTCAGCCGAGGCAGGAGTCAGCCTGGCAGTGGGCTCACTCCAGCCCCAGAGCTGGGTCCCTGGTAGAGAGTGTAGCCAAATCCAAGAGCGGTCCTCCTTATTTGTGCTGGAAGCTGTCTGCAGAAGACCAAGGCATTTAACCTTCAAATGCCAGTTTCACAAAAGTACAATGTAAGTACATTCAACTACTTGACCTCAAGTCCTACCAGGCTAGGATTCCCACCTCCGAAAGGTGATGAAAAGGCTAATCAAAGACAAGAAGAGACTGGTAACAGAAGAGCAGCTAGTGTCCAGAATATAACACCAAACACTTCAGATACAGAAAATACAGATACCAAGGAACAGACAACCCGAGAGAAAGACAGGAAACCAAGAGGCAAATCAAAGGTAAAAAGTCCCAAAGGAGTTCATCAACACACCTGAAAAGATACTCAACCCTACTTGTAATAATGCAAATTGAAACAATGTAAAACAATTTTATACTCCTTAAATTGGCAATAATTTTTTAAAAAATCTGAAAACATGAAGTGCCAGCAAGGCTGTGGGAAATGGAACACTGCCAAGTGCTGAGATAACAATTTGGCAAGATTTAGGTGGGTTGGGGATGCACCCACTCTTGGACCCCACGATCCCATTCGTCTGCACATACTCAAGAGAAACTGTCACAGTATCAGAAGAGAGGCACAGAAATGTTCCTGGAAGATGACTTGGGCATAGTTTGTGATAAGAGAAAATTGCAAATGCTGCACATCACCAGAGTAAGGGAATGGAAAAGTTGGTGTAATCATTTCATAGGATCTCTGCAGTAGTTAGGAGTCAGCGTGAATGACCTCCGTCTCGACATACTGTTGTGAGCAACTATCAAATGTAATTTTGGGTGAAAAAAAAAAAAGTCACAGAAGAATGTAGAATATGGCATCTTTTATTTGAATAAAAACACAAACTACACATTGTTATGATTACATGAGGGCGTATTACATTTATAAAAACCTGCATGAAAAGGATACGTGCCAACTTCAGGACCATGGCTAGTGCTGGGGGGGTTTTGGGAGGGAGAAAATTAGGAAAAACGGTGTGTAGTAGGAGTAGCTTTAGTTTTGCTTTGTTTCTTGGAGTGGAAGGCTGAAGTAACTACGGTAGAACATGTGGGTGTGAAACCTGGGTACACAGGTGTCATTTTTGGTGTGTGGCTGCAGAATCTGATGCATAAAATAAGAACTCTGCGATTACAGGCCAGCCTCCCTCGGTCCCTTCATTGGGGAAAGTGCCACACCCGGGGCTTCCATGGCCATGTCTCCCTACAACGAAGCTCCACGGAAAGGAGAGAACAAGCCCTTGTCTGGTGAAGGGCCGGGTCCTGAGGGGCCTGTTGTGCTGCCTTCCCAGCTACTTCAGTGTTGTCTTCTTCCCAGGGTCCTCGGAGTCTGTGGGGGCTCCAGGGTCCATGGTGACCACGCTCACCACAAAGGCTGCAGGTGTCCACACGACATGTGAGAGATGTCGAAACTCCCAGCCTGCTCACCTGCTCCTTAGAAATGAGGTTCTTTTAAATGAATGCTGAGTTTTCGTTGGGATAGGTAAGGCCCACACCTTCCTATTTCTCCATTCAGAGCTTCCGAATAAGTGAATTCCGAGCTAGCTTGGAATCTCTATGAGTGGGTTTGCTTTGTCACGTGATATGCAAGATAATCCATCTGTGATGCGTGTGGTTGTTTAACGTGTTGCTGTTTGTTTTAGTTGACCCATGTGTATGCATCATCCCCATCGCTGAGCCATTATTTTACTTCAGTGGAAATGACGGACTTCAGGTAAGAGTGTGGAGCCTTCCGTGTTGGTCTCTTTCCTGGGAAGCGACCCCCATCACCATTGATCTAGGACTTTTGAGTCTCAGAGCACAGAAGGATCTGATGATAGAATCACAGATCATTGGCTTTGGAAGGGTCTTTGGACACCCACTAGCTCCACTCCCTGATTTTACAAAGGAGCAGAGTGAAGCCAGATTAATCAAATACCGCAACAAGGTCACAAGGAAGAGAGGAAAAGCCAGTCCCGGGTATACCATTCCTGTTTCACAGCAGATGCTCAGATAAGCTAGGGGTAGGACTAGAAAGAGATCTCAGAGAGTGGCTGTGTGGCTCTGTCAGTTAGGCATCTGACTCTTCATCTCAGCTTAGGTCTCCATTATCTTGATTTCTACATCATGAGTTCAAGCCCCACATTGGACTCTATGCTGGACATGGAGCTTGCTTGAAAAAAAAAAAAAAAAAACAAACAGTTCTCAGATCGTGATGTGCTGTAAATGATATAATTCATACACTAGCTTTTGCTTTTGAGGAACATAATACAGGAGTCCATGATCCTTGAATAATATTAAAAATGTAAAGACATGCATACAGGAAAAGTCTACCTTCTCCCTTCTGCCTCAGCCTACTACCCCTGGATACTGGATGTTCCAGTCAATTCCATACACAGAATATGTTTCACTCCCTTCTACTGAATGAATGGACTGCCATCAGTGGTTTGGTGTGATTTTTTTATATGCGTATTTACCACACAGACTTTATACACTAAATATGTGTAGCTTATACATGTGAATATGATTTTTCTTTTTACATCTCTTAATCTTAAATGTTTTTGTCTCTGTCTACTGAACTTAGATCAAAGGTGTATACGTGTTGAGGAGTCATTTGATTATCTTTTTGTACTGTTAGGACAAGGTTTACATGACAAAGCTTTATTATCCGTTATTCCTAAAATATCTTTTAACTGTGTCCATCAAAGATAGTATTGGACTGAAATCCCTCCTTTCAAACTATACATTTCCCAGACCATGATCTTTATATATCTGAGAGAGGAAGCATGGAAAGCAGGCAGTAGCACAGTGGGATGGGACTGAAAGGGCCCTGAAGTCTGAAACTGCCTACAATGGTGGGTTGCCTTGGCAACAACACTCTTCATCCTCTTTATGGACCCCCCACTGTGCATGTTCCCTTATGGTAATGTCTCTGACATTGCTCATTTTAATCACAAATTACTGGTATTAAATTGCCAATAAAAAAAAGCCCAACACAGTTTCCTCGGTGTACTTGCCCGGATTTGCAATTTCAAGACAGAGCTGAGAAAGGGAAGACGTTCAACCAGAAGGGTCTTTCCAAGAATCCAGCCCCATATTATGGGTTCAGGGGAGGTGGGATTGCATAATGGGTTGGGATTGACATTGGGGGAGAAAACATCCGAAAATTGAGTCAAACATGGCTAGAAAGCTGAGGACTTAATGTTAGAGAATTTGTTTTTAAAAGTTATTTGAAAGAAAAAGCCAAGGGTTTTAGAATTTGGGATAGAGGAAGCTCTGTCCGGGAAGAATTTTGTTTCATATTAAGAGGTGCAGGCAGAGTTTTAAAACAATGTTGATTTGAGAAGCAAAAGCCATTGCTCCCGCAAAATGTGCTGCCGCTAGAGGGCAGGAGACAGCCAGACCCCTGGCAGCTGGGTTTGGGTCCCCGGGGCATATGGACCCCCGTTCTGCCTCAGCCATCCCACTACAGGAACCTGTCAAAATGCCCATTGGTTCACCAGCTGCCGGACTCACTCTAATGGGCGGCCGAGGCAAAGCCTGCTGGGTTCTCTGTTTTCTTGAAAATCCCTCCTTTCCCCTCAAAATCTAGCGGTAATGTGAACTCCGTCGGTGGGTGACCAGACACAGTGGGATTAGGTTGGGCTAGCGGGACTGGGTTAGGCAGGGCAGCCCTGTCTTTCACCTTCTGGCCTGTCTTCTGGAAGTCAGCCTCCGGTCATTTCCATAAGGCAGCCTGAGCCCTTGGCCACTCACCTGTGGAAGTACAGGGTGGCTGCGCGTCTAGACGGCGACCATGGGCAGCCATAAATGGAAGGTGGAACACAGGGAACAAATGAGGACACCTGAAAACTTGGGTAGACGGCTAACAGTGTGAACCTACATTTCCAGCCTCCTTGTGGATGCATCCGTAATCCGAGAGTCTCTCCAGAGTCTTGGTGGTATATTGTTCATTGGAACGGCAGGTTTTGACAAAGGGCTTGGCTGTCGCAAAGCTCATAAAGGGATTGTCGGCCCCCCATTGACCAGAATATTGGCCTATGTGACCTCCGGCCACAAGAGGGAGCTCGTTCCCTGTCCTTAGCAGGAAGAGCGGCCTGATTCTGGCTTCTGGGAGCTTGTCCAGTCTTTAAAAAACCACTTCAAGATGCTGTGAAGTGTGTAAACCTGCGATTCACAGACCTGTACCCCTGGGGAAAAAAAATATATATGTTTATAAAAAATAAAATTAAAAAAAAATACAAAAAAAAAACCCACTTCAAGGGGAATGTCAGATGTGGTCACTTCTTAATTATTTTATTTCTGGCTTTTGATCTGGGCCTCCTTGAACCAAAGTAACAGGATAGCTTTGAAACACCTAAATGCTGAGCTAGCATTTAAAGAACAGTATAAGCTGCTAATTAACTGAGGATAGCCCTATGATTATTTTTATTTTGGAAATGAAAAATATGTTCTGGGAAGATGAAAACTCCTTTTCCTTAGGTTCTTTTATTGAGAGTTGCAAAACTGAGAGTCTCGGAAGGTGGAAATGGGACAGAACAAGTTTCTCACTCTAGAGACAAACCAGGGGGATCTGATTTGCTACTACTACACAGGAAGGTCTGTGGGAGTTCAGGAGTTCTCCAAGGAGTGGGTTGCAGGGAGGGCTGCGTCCTGCCTTAAGCATTTTATAGGTTAAGGAGTGAACTGGTTGAACCCAACAGCTCTGACGGTTGCTTGTCTGGGCAGGGAGAGGAGCAGAGAATACAGAGGACAATAGGCTTTCCTGCCCTGGGGAAGGGGAGTGGGGGAGAGTAAAAGGCTGACATTGGGGCCAGTAGTGGGCCAGCCTTGGATCTTCCTTGACAATAGCTGGGTCGTGACTCTTCCTTCAGTGGCCTCTTCTGGTGGACTCCTAGAGGCTGCGTTTTAGGTGGAAGGAAGAAGTTAGGGTCACCTCAACTTTCTGTGAGGAAACTACAGAAGAAGCTTCTCCTAGAACAGGGTACGCTTTGTTATTTTGTCCTGAAAGAACACGAGGAACTACAAATATGGTCCCGCATAAGTCCGTTTCCTGAGTTGCAGTGGGATTCTGTTGACCTTTGTGGCTTCTCTGTTTGGCGTGCCTTTCAGCGGTGAAAATGCCACGGTAGCCTTCCACCTGCAGTTTGGGGTTCCTTCGGAAGATGACGGTTTTATGAAGTACAGGATGAATAAGGAGTTGGTGCGGGGCGTTTTACTACAGAATCTGCACGATCAGGGAGTGTCTGGCTGTGAGACTTTGGGACTGGATCCAGCATCCCTCTTGCTCTATGGTAAGTGGAGGAAGTCAGGACAGTGGGTTGTGGTGTCAGCACGTGAGCCAGACTGAGGGCAGCCGGGTGGGGTTTGCTGCCTGCACTGGTGAGATTTGCGCTCTGTGGAGGTCACACGGCCCCTGCCCTCCACAAGCCGACAGTGTTTGGGGGGGAAAAAAACAATTGTAAAGATGAGGATGACTAAATGTTTCCTTGTTACTGTTCACCCACATTTGAAGCTTGGCAGTATCATTTGTAAGCTCCATGGAAATGTCTTGGTTTCACAAGAAAAGTAAGTATTGAATTTGAAACAAATAATGATCCCAACATGGGGAACCCATCTTTCTTTATGTTGAAGGTCACTGAGTCTATTACATTAGTAGAGGGCAGAACAAGGCAAAGCAGCCTCTTTCTTTAGAAAGGTATAATAAAGTTACCTACCTACTTTTGAAACCAAGAGAGCAATGAGAAAATTGGCACATCATATAATAAGCCTGGAGGACACACCGCTTGTTAGAATCTGAGAACTTTTAAGACTTCACGCAAAACCTGGTGACAAGCTTCAGACAGGTGCCTCCCTTGCGTCTGCACAAGAACTTTGGCCGGGTGTCTGGCCTCGTGCCTCACCCTGATTCCTCGCTGGGAGAGGCATGTCAGCCGCCACTGATGCCGTCTGTCTCTGATATTCCGTCATCCATGATCCATCAGAAATACTCTCCTTATACTAGTAGGAGTAAATGCTAGTTGAATGAATGAAAACGACCAATCAGGGGTTGGGTTAGCAATAGGCACAATGCCAGCCGGCCTCACATCGGAAGATAGACCTGAGAGATTGGAAAACACCCCTGTTACCACATCATGTGAAGAAGGAGTTTGTTATAGTGACACTTATTTATGATGGGAAATGAAAGTAGGCTAATCCTTGTCTAAGAAGGCAAAGAGTTATATAAAGCAGTTCTGAAACCTTTCTTTTTCCCAAATAAATAGAAAGGATGATGTTCAGAAGGCCAAATCTTAGTTTGCTGGGAATGAATTTTTTCCTCACAGATCAATTAAATAAATCACGCCTGTGGGTCAGATGGAGGGCATATATCTGTAGAGTGAAGAGGTTATACCGCCCCTTACAGGAATTTTAAGAAGAAAGTAAAGAAAAGAAGGAAGGAAAGAGGGAGGGGCGGAGGGAGGAAGGAAGGAAAGAAGGAAGGAAGGCAGGCCAGAGAGAAAAAGAAAGAAGAAAAGAAAGCAAGCCCTTCGACCCCCTCTTGTGTAAAGAGGTGAGAGAGGGGAGGTGCTTCTGCCTGAGCTGGGTGTGGTGACAGCTGCTGTGTTGTGACTGGTCTTGATTTTCTGAGCCCCCTCTGTCCTACGGTGGTTACCAGCTTTTTCCAAATGTAGGTAAGGAAGATAGAGGAGGATGGTGAGAAAAAGTTGAGAAGATTATGGGGTTGGGAAGGGCAGGCGGCCTATGAGCCCAGGGAGAGCTCAAGAAGACTTTGAGAAGACCTTGAGCAGATGGCCCTGGAGACATTTGCCCAGGTCCTGACTAGGCATCGGGCCCCATGAATGTATCCGAGAGCTAAATAGGAGATTTTACTGTTCCTCTGAGACATTTCTGCTTCGGGGGAGAGAGTGTTTCTATGACCCAATGTCCACTTTCTAGAACATGCTTGTGAAATATTTGAGCCATTTGGTATTTTCAGGACTATGAGTATCAGTCAAATGGAAGAGGACACTGTCACCATTTGGGAAATGTAGAAGGAAGAAGAGAGACCTAGAAAAGGCAGGCAGGCCAAGGGAGGGGATACACTCAGGCAGGGATAGGTAGGAGAGGTAGAGGCCCCTGGGAGGGGCCCAGTGAGACCCTGTGTGTTCTTACACCAGTCTTCCATGTTCATATGCAGTGTGGGACTGAGGGTTAACCTACCCCTCCCATAACCACCACTACCCCACACCGTGGTCATCTGGGCAATTAGTGGTGAGCCTGGCAGATAGTTTTCTACAGAGATAATATTCCAGTTTTGCAAAGAACAATGATTCTTTTTTTTTTAATTTAAATTTTAGTTAGTTAACCAGTCAATCTTTGTTTCAGGAGTAGAATCAGTGACTCATCACTGACATACAATACCCAGTGCTTATCACAAGTGCCCTCCTGAAGACCCATCACCCATCTAGCCCATCCCCCTACCTCCCTCCATCAACCTTCAGTTTGTTCTCTGTCATTAAGAGTCTCTTATGGTTTGCTTCCCTCTCTTTTTTCTCCTTCCCATATGTTCATCTGTTTTTTTTTCTTAAATTCCACATATGAGTGAGATCATATGATATTTGTCTTTCTCTGACTGACTTATTTCACTTGGCCTAATACCCTCTAGCTCCATCCATGTCATTACAAATGGCAAGTTTGCATTCTTTTTCATGGCCGCATAATATTCCATTGTATATAGCACATCATTTTTGTCCATTCATCCATCGATAGACATTTAGACTCTCTCCATAGTTTGGCTGTTGTTGATAATGGAAGAGCAATGACTTAAGAAATTAAAATATTTTCCACATACTGAGAACTTTTAGGATTGACTCTTAGCAACTTTCAGCTGTACCAAACAGCAATGGTAACACCAGCCATCATGTTGTACACTACATCCACAGAACTTATTTATGTTATAACTGGAAATTTGTGCCTTTTGACCACCTTCACCCAGCTCCCCCACCCCCTGCCCCACAACCAGTCCAGTCTCTTTTTCTATGAGTTTGTTTTTTCTCGTGAGATGATGCAACACTTGTCTTCCTCTGTCTGACTAATTTCATGCAGCATGAAGCCCTCAATGTTCAGGGAATTGTTGGACTAGATGTTATCTCCCTCTTCCCCTGTTTTTTTGGGCTACTTCACCTTATGGATGTTTGGAGGCCCAGGAATGAGGAGGGAAGCTCTGTTTTACAAATTTAAAATGGCAGCATGAGTTATTTTAAACATCTTGACCTGAGTTCGTTATTTTGTGCTGTGTTCTCATATGGGAAGGAGTCAGCTAGTAGACTAAATGAGAAACTAAGGCAAACACCAGATTTGTGTGAGAGAAAGGAGAAGAACTTGTAGGCGGAGAGAACAGTGAATCTTGCTTGCATATTTTTGTGGTGAACCGATGAGCTGCCTGCTGGTAGAGGAACCCATGTGTGAGTTCTGTCCTTGAAAGGACTACTTGGTATCAAGGAAAATGGTTTGGGTTGTTTATAGATTCCCCTTGGAACGTTTAGCCAAGGACCACTACTTTCCAAGTGGGGCAGTTTTGCACCCCCACCGCACCCCTGGGGTATTTGGCAACATCTGGAGACATTTGTAGTCCTCAAGACTGGGTGTGTACGTGAGATGCTAGCATCTCATGGGTGGAGAGCAAGGAGGCTTCTGCACATCATACGAAGCACGGGACAGCTATTATGCAGAATTATCCAGCCCATAATGTCAACCACGAGGACCCTGTGGTAGAGCGTGGGCTGTCTATGTGGTGTCCCTAGGTCCTTGCACAGATGTCTCCTCCTCAGTCAGGCCAGGTCCTCACCATTTCTCTCAGCAGACTTTCTCAGAAGCTGCTGTATATGTTTTAACAAACTGAAAATTTAGAGGTTAGTAGTGAGATTATGAAGAAGGACTGAATATTTAATGTCCTCGGCACCCAATAGACCCCATCAAAATGTTATTTATCATGAATTATGCCAAAGCAAATGAGCATTGTGTTATTTGCTTTCTGAAAAGCGTTCAGAGGTGTGCATGTATGTATATATATTGACTGAAAAGGAAATAACTCTGTTAGGAATTTACAGGCATTTCAGTTTTGCAGAACAGTTTATATTGAAACCCAATGAAATAAAATGAAAGCATAAATCTTTAAAATAATCATGATTTAAAAAAATTAGTGACTTCCGTTTGTCTGTCTTCTCTTTTCAGAATGAAGGGAGGATGTTGGTGTGTGTCTGAAGGCAGTGCTCCACTAAGTCTGGGGAAGAGAGAATTCACATTGTTTTCCAGAGAAGATCTTGCAAATTACCACAGAAGGCCTGGCAAATGTCTGGAGGGGTGGAGACCGTCCTTTTTCCTCCTGACTCTGCATTTCTGAAGTCTGGGCTCTGTGTCCAGCTCTGTGAGCTCCCCTCACGGGGTCTAGTCTTGGCAAAGGCAGGAAGCCGGTTTGGCTGGGGGTGACGGGGAAGGTGGGTAGGCCTTGCAGTGCAGGGTCACTGCCAGTTGCCTCCACCTACAGGTGCACACTTTCTCTTTAGGGCGAAGGTGACCTTTCAGGCAGGATTCCCCAACCCGGGCTGGTGGAAAGAGTGGGCAGGCAGGAGGTGAGGGACAACTGAGCCAATCTCTCGCTGAAGTCCTCCTCCCACTCCCATTGTGGTATTTGATCTACCTCTGAGCAAGACTGTGAGGAAGGCACTTTACCCAACAAAGCAGCGAAATTCTGTGTCTAGTTCCATAACCTGGAGCTGCCTGTCTTAGCAAGCCAGCCTCAGGCACATCATCCAATATTACTGGGTCACGTGTGGCTACAGAAATATGGTGTGTGTTTCTTACTTCTCATCGCCTCATTGCTCTGGTGACTCTTGAACACTGCCTTTGGAAATGTGGGTCCCTGTGTGTTTTGAGTTTTGGACACACTGCTGTCCTTGGGGATGGTTTGACCTTTAAGAGTTTCTAGACTTCATCAGAGGATTGTTAAGGCTGCTAACCATGTGCATGCTGGCGCCTGGCTTTTTCTTGTCTCATGTGACTAGCCTTCTTCTAAAACTCAGTGTCTTCAGGCATTGAATGTGTATCCTATTGAAGAGGGTTTGAAACAGGAAGAGCCGCTCTCTGTTTGAAATAACCTGTTGGAGGCTTGATGCCAATTTGTTAACAGGAAGGGGGTACAATATTAGCAACTGTATTGATCATCTGCAGACATAGCATGGCCTAGCATGAAGAAACCGAGGATTTGTTTCACTGGGAAAATTGTTTTGCTGGGAATTTTCCAGGGGAGAGTGTGGTGGTCCTATCACAAGAGATTCTTAGCCCCAGGATCTCAGTTAAATGGGTTGTAAGTGGACGTCAGTATGAGGGGCTGCCGTGGATGGGGACGTGTCCAAGCATGAGTCTCGGGCTAGATTTGCCCTGGTCTTTTTGTGAACCAGGACTCTGGATAATGTGAATTTGCTTCCTTATTTAACTAGAGGATATGTTTATTGTAACCTGGTGTCTCATTTTGAGGCCGGTTCCTCAAACTAGCCAAATAGGTGCATTTCCTGTGTTCCTCTTTATTTTTTACGTGTCCAATATAAATCATAGTGTGTGTGTACTTTTTTGAATGTAACGAATAACTTTCACGGGGAGGGATTTAAAACTATTTACAATAAATTATTTTTTGTGCGGGCATGGTCACAGTCACATTGATTTCACGGTGTGGAGTCTCTGTGGCGTGATGGGGGCTGGCATTTTCTTATAGGGAATGGTGCTGGAACTGATTTTTCATTTCCCGGAGGGCAGTTTCCCCTTCTGAGTAAGACTGAGCTGGAGGGGCTGGAGTGGACTAGGTCCTCCTCGGCTACAGGGAGAGCAGGGTGTGCCCTCCCACCCCTGTCTTCCCTTCCTCCCCTCTGCTTCCTTCCAGGGCACTTTCCTGGCAGGCTCAAGTGTCCTAAGGGCCAGGGCTGGAAGGAAGTGCCAGGACAGTGGGCTTTTCCCTTCTCCTTTGGAAAGCACTAAAACGCAACTATCTTGACCTCTTGCAAGTCATATGGAAGACTTTCCATAGGTTTGACTCTGGCTGGTGGTGTGGGAAGAGCTGAACTTTGTAACTTTGTGCCTAAAGACTTTTGAGGTGTCTGAAAAAAAAATGGTGTTCACGTCTACACTGTTCTGCTGTAGGAGATGAGTTTACTGGTTGTCATACGTTTTCATGATGAGCATAACTCCTGGTGCATCATGAGGTCTCAGCAGTTCTCTGTGACGTCACTGAAGGATTTGAGAAGAGACACTGGTCTTTTCTGGAAGTCTGTAAGATGCGGGCAGAAAGGGGTACACTCAGAATAGTGGTATGTGCCACTTTTCCCATCCCCAGAGAAAATTCTGTCCATGCATCCAATTCTTTTCTACTTTTCAATTACTTAGCTCTGTAGATCATTTTAATGATGTGTTTTGCAATGAGTCCAGGAAAAATGGCGAAGGGGAGGATAATAATAAGAAAAGAAGCTGCTGGTCTCATTAGGCAATAAGACTCTGTGCAGGCCAGATAGGAAACAGCAGGAAAAAACAGCCTGGTGTGAACCTGGAGACAGACTGTGGGGGTGTGGGTAGTCAGAGAAGAAAGTGGTCAGTGTCCTTTCATTGGAGAAGGCCTTGCCTAGGAAGGATGACACAGCTGAGCCTGAAGCCGTGGTGGGGTTGGAATAAACAGATTTGCTTTCCTTTACACTTGTTTGCGTCTGATTAGGATAAGGTCACGTTCTTTCTTTTAGAACATTTTTAATACATTCATTTAAATTCATTTAATACATTTTAATACATTCATTTATTTATTTTTATTTTTAAGTAGGCTCCATGCCCAGTGTGGAGCCCAATGTCGAGCCCAATGTGGAGCTTGATTTCATGACCCTGAGATCAAGGTCTGAGCTGATATCAAGAGTTGGATGCTTAACTGACTGAGCCCACCCAGGGACCCCTCTTTTCCATTTTAGTTCTGTGGGCTCTGCATGGATCCCTGCCCCATTCAGAGTCTCATCAGTACTGAGAAATATGAGAGAAGTCTCTGGAAGTCTTCCCTTCCCTGCTCGCACTATGGTTCCTTGCCTTATAAAAGGCTCCTTCACATTGTCTCTGTGTCACTGGCAGTGGTGTCCACAAGCAGTCCCCTCATCTCATACTTAGGAAACTGAGGTCTGGAGAAGTGAAACGATGAGTCTAGAGTTCCACAGTCTTGGAGAGCAATGTCCAGCCCACTAGGCAAACTCATACCGTCAATGGCCTCTGACTTTGGCAGGCACCCTCGGGTCATGTTCAGATCAGGCTTGACTCCATCCACAAAGAGCACAGGTGGTGAGAGGGGAAGGGATGAGTTAAGAGATGTCATCATCAGACTGTAGAAGTCTCCCTGGGATGATAATGATCACCCAGGGCTCCCCCTGAGTGCCTTACAAAAGCACCCTCTGTAGGAAAGTGGGAAGAACTTACACTGGGCCATTTAACAGATGGCAGAACTGAGGTACACTCAGATCTGGGGACTTTCCAGTTGCTTTCTGAACACAAGAGGCTGGCTGGAAATAGGACAGAGTCAGATACATGTAAACAGAATCTCCTTTTGTCTGAAGGCTCCTGTGATATCTTGGGGACTCCTCTGCTCTGTTCTGCCTATGCCCTTCCATTCCATTCCTGAGAATATTCAAAGCACCTGTCACCCAAGGTTGTCCTAAAAATGTCAGCATTTGAAATTATTTGTTATCAATGGTAGATTGTTCTGACCTAGCTTTGCCCTTTTCTTGTACCTCTCTTCTGTTCTGAATAGGAATTTATGCATAGGCTAAAGGATTATTTATAGATGCTACTATGAAGGTAAAACGGAAACCACAAAACCTGCCGTTGCCGCCTGAAGTGTGCCTCTGAACTGGCTGTGTACAGGTGTAAGGAGCGCGTGGGGGAGGGGAGTTTCCTGATTGTATCTATGACCCAAGGGAGCATTTTAAATCCTCAGTCTCCATTTCTTATCAAGAACCCAGGATTTATGGGGTGCCTGGGTGGCTCAGTGGGTTAAAGCCTCTGCTTTCAGCTCAGATCATGATCTCAAGGTCCTGGGATGGAGCCCCCACATCTGGATCTCTGCTCAGCAGGGAGCCTGCTCCCTCCTGCCCCCCCCCATCTGCCTCTCTGCCTACTTGTGATCTCTGTCTGTTAAATAAATAAACAAATAAACAAACAAACAAATAAATAAATAAATAAAGTCTTTAAAGGAAAAAAAAAAAAAGAACCCAGGAATTCTTCCAGGGATGGGTGGCATCCCCGACCACTAGAAATTGTGTAAAATACTGTGTGTGTGAGTGTGTGTGAATGTGCATTTTCTGTGAAGAGGGTTACAGGGCTTTCACCAAAATCCTGAAGTGTTTGGAAAACAGGATTAGCATTATATGCAGACAGAGCACTCCCGAACGGCTCTCTTGCTCGAAAATCATTCCCTTCCCTCAGCTCTCTGGCTTTCATTATAAGAACAAATTTCCCTAGCTAAGCATTTATATTTAATACATTGCAGGAAAGAGGCATATACTATTTGGGACAAGTAATATTTTCACAGGAGAAGACTCAAACTAGTATAACTTATATTGTACTAAAAGTATTTAAACCAGTCAACTCCAGCAATGGTTCAATGTCCAAATGAAAAACTCCAGTCTAAAACCCAGTGGTGCCATTTCTAACTCACTGGAAGATCGCTGGATGACTCTGGTCATCACGCCCGTCAACACGTTTTCCTCCACACGTCGCGAAGGTGTTTGTTCCTCTTTGCTCCTTGATATCATTTATTCAAGGTCTGCGGTAAAGGAATTACATACACTAGATGCCACTCTCCCGTTTGCCGGTGATAAAGCCTAACCTTCAATTTATATGTTCAAGGTCACAGAGGGAGGAAGGGATAGAGCCAGGATTGGAATCACTCACTGGCTGACTCTAGTGTCCACACTCTTTCCCCTAAGTGAATCCTGGCCAAGGGTGAAGGTTAGAGTTCCACAGGGTTCCATGGCTGAAAATGGGAAGTTGGCAGAGGACAAGATACCCAGAAGTGACTGGCTCTTAGCTGAAGGCCATCGACTGCCTGAAGTCTCAGCAAATGCGTGTGGACTCATCCAACCTCTTGTCACCACATTTCTCCTCGCTGGCATTTAGTGCACTTTAAATAACAGTTATTTAACTTTAGGTGCCTTTGGGGACAAATCAGTAATTAAACACATAATGTTATCTACTATTTCGTC